ACACAAAAACCACAAATGACATAATTCGCACGTGAAAGTTATGGCACGGCACGTCCGAAAGCGGTTGGGGCTGTCGGCGCTTGCAATTATCACTTTCTTGCCGATTTCCTCGTTTGCTCAAAAATGACTCTGTTATTACAAGTGCCTTGAAATTACGCTAATCGCCGACACAATGGGTTCGGATTAATTGGATGGGGCTTTGTGTCACACGCAGCAATTTATTTAATTGCGGAGGTACAAGGATTCGGTTTAGTCACGGAAGGTAGGAGTCAAAACGTGTGCTCAATTGAGAGCTGAAAAATTACAACTGTAAAAACATTTGTATTGCATAATTTTGAATTCTTTGATTTTGTTCCAATCTTCTTCAACATCAAATTACGAGTACTCAGACTCCGTGGATTCTTAAACAGAAACATATTAGGGGCTTATGTGATTCTTTTAAATTCTTATACCAGAACACCTAAAGGAAAGCCAAGATTCTTTTAAATTCTACAAAAATTGGAACTTGGAAATCCCAACATTTTTGCGACTTTCATCAAAAACGAAACACCAAGGTTTCCAGAATTCAGTTTTCCAATTTTTTTATTTTTACACTTTGCAATTTTTTATTTTTCAATCATTCAGTTTCCAGATTTTTCAGTTTTCCGATTTCCCAATTTGAAATTCTTAGATTTTTTCATTTTACAATTTTCTATTTTTGCAGTGTTGCTTTTTTGACATTTTTCAAATGTTTTGATTTCTTAATGTATCGATTTTCCGACTTCCCGGTTTTAGATTTTCTGTTTCAATTGTCGTTTTTTCAAATTTTCGATTTTTCAATTTTTCTAATTTGACATTTAAACTGTCAAATTTTCGATTTTTCAATTAATCGATGTTTTGATTTTCCCATGTCTTGACTTTCGAGGGTTACGATATTCCTGTTTTTCAGTTCTTTAATTTTTCTAGTTTTCAGTTTTTAGTTTTTTTAAGGTTTCGATTTTTCGGCTTCACTTTTTGGATTTTTCAATTGCTCAATTTTTCGACTTTTTAGGTTCTCAGTTTTTGGATATTTCAGTTTTCGGATTTTTCAGGTTTTCCATTTTTCAGTTTTTTTTTCTCAATTTTTCAATTTGTCGGTTTTCAGTTTTTCTCTTCAATATTACGATTTTTAAATATTTCGATTTTTCGATTTTTAAATTTTATAAACTCTTTATTTGTCGATTTTTCAATTAATTGATTTTTCAGGTTTTTTGGTTTTTCAATTTTTCTATTTTTTCAGGTTTCGCTTTTTCAACTTCACTTTTAGATTTTTCGATTTCTCAATTTTTCAATTTTTTAATTGAGTTTTTGGATATTTCAGTTTTGGGATTTTTCAGTTTTTCCATTCGTCAGTTTTTCTTCCATTTTTCAGTTTTTCGATATTTCAGTTTTGGGATTTTTCAATATTTTTGTTCTTCGACTTTTCCATTTTTGACTTCTGGATTTTTCGATGTGTCGACTTTTTACTTTTTCGATTTTTAAATTTTAGATTTCTCAATTTTTTGGTATTTTAATTTCTCAATATTTAAAATTTTAGATTTTTCGGTTTCTCGGTTTTTCATTTCAGCTCTTCCATACTTCAATTTTTTAAATGTTTCGATTTCTTAATCTTTCGATTTTTCGACTTACCGGTTTTAGATTTTCTGTTTTTCAATTGTCGTTTTTTCAAATTTACGATTTTTCAATTTTTCAAATTTGACATTTAAACGGTCAATTTTTCGATTTTTCAATTAATCGATGTTTTGATTTTCCCATCTCTTGGCTTTCGAGGGTTTCGATATTCCTGTTCTTCAATTCTTTAATTTTTCGATTTTTCGTTTTTTAGTTTTTTTTCGATTGCTCAATTTTTCGACTTATTAGGTTCTCAGTTTTTGGATATTTCAGTTTTCGAATTTTTCACTTTCTCTATTATGAATTTTTCGATTTGTCAATTTTTAGTTCTGAGTTTTGGATTTTTCGTTAAATTATTTTTAAGTTTCCCGATTTTTCAAATTTTCGCTCATTCAATCCAGTTTTCAATTTTAAATTTTTCAGCTTTTAGATATCGTAGTTTCTCATGTTTCAATTGTTCAATTTTTTAATTTTTCGATTTTTCGATTTTTGGTTTCTTCGATTGTAAATTTTTCGACTTTTGATTTTAAATTTTTCGATTTTTCAAGTATTAGATATTTCGTCTTTTTTTCAATCAAGTTTTCAGTCTTAAATCTTTCAATTTTTCGATTTGTGAGTTTCTCTATTTTGAATTTTTAGTTTGTAGTTTTTCGTTTCTCGTTGTTCTAGTTTTGAGTTTCTCGATGTTTCAATTTTTCGCTCATTCAATCTAGTTTTCAAATTAAAATTTGTCAGTTTCCCAATTTTTTGACTTAACCATTTTCCAATTTTTCGGTTTTTCGAGTTTTCCGATTCACAATTTGAAATTTTTGGATTTCTTGATTTTTCAATTTTCCAGTATCGATAGAGCTTTCAGTTTTTCATAAATTCAATTTTTCAATTTTTCAATTTGAAATGTTTGGATTTTTCAGTGTTTATTTCTTATTTTTTCTTTGTTCGAATTTTGAGTTTCTCGGTTTTTAAATTTCCCACTCCTTCAATTTAGTTTTCAATTTAAAATTTTTCAGTTTTCCAGTTTTTTGATTCAACCATTCTGCATTTTTTTAATTTTCAGTTTATCATTTTTCAGTTGTCCAATCCACAATTTGAAATTTTTGAATTTGAAATGTTCAGATTTTTTCATTTTAAAATTTTCTATTTCTGCAGTTTTTGCTTTTTTAACTTTCTGACTGTATAATTTTTAATTTCTTTCTAGATTTTTATCTGCTTTTTTCAATTTTTCGATTTTTGAGTTTCTCGATTTTTCAATTTTTCGCTCCTTCAATCTAGTTTTCAGTTTTAAATTTTTCGGTTTCCCAAATTTTTGATTTTACAATTTTTCTAATTTTTCAAATGTTTTGATTTCATAATCTATCGATTTTCCGACTTCCCGGTTTTAGATTTTCAGTTTTTCAATTGTCGTTTTTTCAAATTTTCGATTTTTCAATATTTCTAATTTGACATTTAAACTGTCAATTTTTCGATTTTTCAATTAATCGATGTTTTGATTTTCCCATCTCTTAACTTTCGAGGGTTTCGATATTCCTGTTCTTCAATTCTTTAATTTTTCGAGTTTTCATTTTTTAGTTTTTATAAGGTTTCGATTTTTCGGCTTCACTTTTTGGATTTTTCGATTGCTCAATTTTTCGACTTGTTAGGTTCTGAGTTTTTGGATATTTCAGTTTTCGGATTTTTCAGGTTTTCCATTTTTCAATTTTTTTTCATTTTTCAGTTTTTGGATATCTCAGTTTCAGGATTTTTCAATATTTCGATTCTTCGGCTTTTCTATTTTTGACTTCTGGATTTTTCGATGTGTCGACCGTTTTACTTTTTCGATTTTTCAGTTATTGGATTTTTAAATTTTAGATTTTTCAATCTTTTGATATTTTAATTTTTCAATATTCCTTAATCGTTCGATTTTTCGACTTCCTGTTCTGTTTTTCAGTTTTTAGATTTGTTAATTATTCATTCCCGATTTATCGAGGTTTGATTGTTCAGGTTTTCGATTTACCAGTTTTTCAATTTTTTATAGTGGCCTATTTCGGTTTCTCAGTTTTTCCAGTTTTCCATTTTTTCGTTTTTTGATTTTTCCGCTTTTCCAATTTTTTAACTTTTAACTTTTTCTTTGTCGATTTCTCTATTTGTCGATTTTTCGACTTCGTCACTTTTCGATTTCTCGTTCTTTTGATCTTTCAATCTTTCAATTTTTCGAATTTTCAAGTTTTTTGATTTCTCGATTTATCGAGATTTGGATTGTCAATTTCTCAATTTATAAATTGTTCAATTTTTAACTTTTCGATTTTTCGATTTTGGCCTATTTCGGTTTCTCGATTGTTCGACTTTTCGACTCCACGATTTCTTGATCTTTTGATTTTTCGATTTCTTGGTTTTTGGATTTTCCAGTTTTTCGATGTTTCGATTTTTCAGTTATCAGACATTTGAAATTTGGGAGATTCGATTTCTCGATTTTTCGTTATTCGGTTTTTAAATTTTAGATTTGTGAATTTTACCACAAAAATGTTCACTAAAAACATTTAAAAAATCATACAAAATAGAAGACAGTGTTTCCAAAACATTTTTCCGAAAAAATTTGGGTTGTTACTCTTTCAAAAATATTCTTAGTTTAAGACATTTTGCTAGTATAAAACACAAATAAAGAATTAATTCTTAGTTAAACTAAATATGTACCAAAAATATTAACTTAGTCGTTATAAAAATCGACCAAACAACTATTTCCCCCAGAAATTATAGTTCAAACCAATCAAATCTCTTCTGAACGCTTAGAGTCGACATTGGCCTGAGCGCGCTCTGGTCTGTAGATCAAACAAGTTCTCAGGCGACGAGTTGTACTGAAACAAGTTTTAGACTATATAAATTTGGCGCTTGCCTTTGGCGGTTGAGGACTCCAATGTCAATAAGGGTGGTTTTGCAAAATCAGCCTGTATGTCGCATCTATATTAATCTATGGATTAACCACGTTTTAAGACTTTTCGTAAAATACCACATACAGGAACTCTAGTCATTACGTCTGACGCTTATTCGTAATCACTTCACAAGTTCATTTTTAATTCTCGCCGTTAACCGTTCCATCACGCCGCTTTTCGTACCCAGAACCCCATCTCACACCTAAGCCCGCTTTTTCGCAATCTCCGTCACGACCTAAACTCGATGCTAATCTCGGGCACGAAGACGTCCAGCGCCTGTCAAAAACCGTCTTCGCTTCGAAATGTTCGAAACGGGAACACTGGAAGTTGCACCACTTGGGTTCTTGCCCAACTCCGACCCCATCACTAAGACAATCCCGTCCATAAGCTCGTAATCGCGGGTTCAGCTTCAGCTTTCATCGGCAATTTGCGTCCTTATCCGCTATTAGATCGCTTTTCTGTTCGCAGGGCATTGTTCTGTTAGCAATCGTACCGGCAGAAAGGCTGTGGTGCAACGGAGCTAATGAGGTAATGACGTGGAGTGGCAAGAGCGATTACTGAAAAAACGTTGCAGGTATCGTACACCTTCAGGTACGCCATCGACGAGTCGAGGGTCGTGACGCAACACTGGGAGGAGAGGAGGGCGGATATCGTCCATGGGTCGTACAGTTTTCTGGAGCCGGACGGGAAAGTGAGGGTGGTGGAGTACCAGGTTAATGGGAAGAAGGGGTTCAGGGCTGCGGTGACGTTCAGGAAGCCGCCAGGTAGGGAGAGAGGGGGAAATGTATAATTTTTTCAAAATTTTAAATTTAATGTTGTCATACAGTTTTATAAACCAGATTCATAAACCACAAGTACAGGATTATGTTATTTTATAAAATTTAAATAAAACTTACTTGAGATGACGTGATTTCATTGGGGGTGGGGATGATTAGGCAAATTTCGATTAGTGTTTTACCATCTACATGATATATCTAAAATACATACAAAATTTGCCAACAATCGGTCAGTAGTTTCAGAGATTAAATGTGTAGAGCCAACAGACAGATGGAGGCGAAAGACCATTTTTTTAGAAAAAAAAAAAAAAACGAAAAATTAAAGTATCAAAAATTGAAAAATCGAAAAATTAAAAATTAAAAAATAGAAAGATTGAACACTGAAAACTTGATTGAAAAAAAAAGAAAAACTCAAAAAATTTACAGTTGAAGAAACAAAAAATCGAAAAACCGAGAAATTCAAAAAGTGAGCAATTGAAGCACAAAAAATTAAGATAAACGAAAAAATCTAAAATTTCAAACTGAAAATTCGAGAAGTTACAAATCGAAAAATTGAAAAATTTCAAATTGTACTCGGAAAACTGAAAAATTGAAAAACTGAAAAATTTAACACTTAAAACTAGATTGAAGGAGCGAAAAATTGAAAACCCCAACAACGAAAAACGAAACACTAAGAACTAGAAATTAAAAAATCAAAAAATTCAAAATAGAGAAAGTCCCACATCGAAAAATTTAAAGCTTAAACACTGAAAATTTGATTGAAAAAACGAAAAATTGAGAAACTCAGAACACGGAAAATTGAAAAAAAAAAACAAAAAATCTAAAAATCTAGAAATTATAAATTGTAAAATCGGAAAATTAAAGAAGGAAAAACTGGAAAAATTGAAAATTTTAAAATGAAAAAATCTAAAAATTTCAAATTGAAAAATCGAAAAATCACGAATGAAAGATCTATAGACAGTGAATAACTGAAGAATCAAAAAACCTAAAAATTTCAAATTGTAAATCGGAAAACTGAAAAATCGAGAAACTGAAAAATTGAAAAACTGAAAAATAAAAAATTCCAAAGTGGTAAAATGAAAAAATTGGAAAACTAAAAATTTAAAATTGAAAACTGGATTGAAGGAGCGAAAAATTGAAAAATCGAGAAACTTAAAAATTGACAAATTGAAAAAAAAAAACAAAGGATCTAAAAATCTAGAAATTTAAAACTGTAAAAGTGAGAAATTAAAGAAGCAAAAAACCGGAAAAATTGAAAATCTTAACTGAAAAAATCTAAAAATTTCAAATTGAAAAGTCGAAAAATTGAAATTATGAAAAACTTAAAGATCTTTAGACACTGAGAAATTGAAAGATAAAAAAATCTAAAAATTTCAAATTGTAAATCGAACTTTTGAAAATAAAAAATTCCAAATTGGTAAAATCAAAAAATTGGAAAACTGAAAAATTTAAAATTGAAGACTACGTTGGAGGAGCGAAAAATTGAAAAATCCAGAAACTGAAAAATCGAACAACGAAAAACGGTAAACTAAGAATAAAACATTGAAAAATCGAAAAAATCAAAATAGAGAAATTCAGAAATCAAAAAATTGAAAAACAAATCAAAAGATCTAAAAATCTAGAATTTAAAAATTGTAAAATCGAATAATTAAAGAACCAAAAACTGAAAAAAAAAATGAAAATTTAAAAATGTAGTTCGGAAAACTGAAAAATCGAAAACAATGAAAATCTCAAAAATAAAAACTTACAAAATGCTAAAATCAAAAAAATTGTAAAATTGAAAATTAAATTGATGGAGCGAAATATTAAAAAATCGAGAAAGTCAAAAATCGAACAACGAAAAACGAAAAACTAAGAACTAAAAATTGAAAAATCCAAGAATTGAAAATAGAGAAACTTAAAAATCGAAAAATTGAAAAAACCAAATGATCCAAAAATATAGAAATTAAAAATTGGAAAATCGAAAAATTAAAGAAGCGAAAACCGGAAAAATTGAAAATTTTAACTGAAAAATTGAAAAATTGAAGTTATGAAAACCTAAAAGATCTATAGACACTGAGAAATTGAAAATCATAAAATCTAAAAATTGCAAATTGTAAATTGTAAATTTGAAAAATCGAGGAACTGAAAAATTAAAAAATTGAAAAGTAAAAAATTCCAAATTGGTAAAATCAAAAAACTGGAAAATTGAAAAATTTGAAGTTGAAGACTAGATTGGAGGAGCGAAACATTGAAAAATCCAGGAACTCAAAAATCGAACAACGAAAAACGAAAAATTAAAAATTGAAAAATCGAAGAAATCAAAGTAGAGAAACTCAGAAATCAAAAAATTGAAAAACAAATCAAAAGACCGAAAAATCTAGAAATTAAAAATTGTAAAATCGGAAAATTAAAGAACCAAAAAAGGAAAAAATGAAAATTTTAAAATGAAAAATTCGAAAAATTTTAAATGAAAAATCGAAAAATTACAAATTGAAAAATTGAAGTTATGATAATAATCTGAAAGACACAATTTGTAAATCGGGAAACTGAAAATTCGAGATACTGAAAAATAAAGAATTGCAAAATGGCAAAATCAAAATAATGGAAAATTGAAAAATTTAAAATTGAAAACTAGATTGAAGGAGCGAACAACTGAAAAATCGAGAAATTCAAAAATCGAACAACAAAAAATTCAAAATAGAGAAACTCCAAAATCGAAAAATTAAATAAAAATATAAAGATGTAGAAATTCAAAATTGCAAAATCGAAAATTAAACGAAAACTGGAAAAATTGATAATTTAAAATTAGAAAATAAAAAATTTCAAATTGAAAAATCAAAAAATATAAAAATTTCAAATTGTAATATAAAAACTGAAAATCGAAAAATTGAAAAATTGAAAAATTTAAAATGAAAACTAGATTGAAGGAGCGAATAATTAAAAAATCGAGAAACTCAAAAATCTAACAAAAAAAACGAAAAACTAAAATAATTACAAAATTGGAAAATCGAAAAATTGAAGAGACAAAAAAATTCAAAGATCTAGAAACCGAAAAATTGGAAAACAAAAAATTCGAAAAATTCACAATTGCAACATTTAAAAAATCGAAAAATTGAATTGAAAAATCGAAAAATAGAGAAACTCGAAAAAATAAAATTGAAAAAAAAAAACCAAAAGACGAAATCTTTAAAATTTAAAAAATCGAACCATTTAAAATCGAAAATCGGAAAATTTCAATTTGTAAATCGAAAAATTGAAGAAAGAAAAAAACCAATAAATTGAGAAATTGAAAATTTGAAAAACAGGAAAATCAAAAAACTCAAAATCGCAACATCAAAAAATTGAAAAACTGAAAAATTTACAACTGAACAATTGAAACACGAAAAACCGAGATATCTAAAAATTGACAAATTCGAAAAATTGGAAAAAACCAAAATATCTAAAAATTCAGATATTAAAAACTGTAAAATCGAAAAATTAAAGAAGCAAAAAATGGGAATATTGAAAATTTTAAAATGAAAAAATCTAAAAATTTCAAATTAAAAAATCGGAAAATTTCAAACCGTAAAATTGAACTTAAAAAATTGGAAACCTAAAAAATTTAAAACTGAAAACTAAATTGAAGGAGCGAAAAATTGAAAAATGAAAAAACTCAAAAATCGAACCACGAAAAACGAAAAATTAACAGCTAGAGAAACTGAACAATTACGAATGGAAATATTAAAGAAATCAAAAATAAAAAAAAATCCAAATTGTAAAATTTTAAAAAACCGAAAAATTCAAAAATAGAAAAACTCAAAAATCGAACAATTGAAAAAAAAACGAAAGACGAAAACACATAAGAACTGAAAAATTTAAAAATTGAAGAGACAAAAAATTGCAAGATCTAGAAACCGAAAAATAGGAAAACAAAAAATTCGAAAAATTTACAATTACAACATTTAAAAAATCGAAAAATTGAATTGAAAAAACGAGACTCAAAAAATAAAAAAAAAAACAAAACACGAAATATCTAAAATTTGAAAAATCGGAAAATCTCAATTTGCAAATCGAAAAATTGAGGAAAGGAAAAATCGATAAATGTAAAATTGAAAATATGAAAAACAAAAAAATCAAAAAACTCAAAATTGCAAGATTAAGAAAATTAAAAACTGTAAAATTTACAACTGAACAATTGAAACACGAAAAACACCAAGATATCTGAAAATTGGAAAAATAATAAAATTTCAGAAATTAAAAATTGTAAAATCGAAAAATTAAAGAACCAAAAACTAGGAAATTTGAAAATTTTAAAATGGAAAAATCTAAAAATTTCAAATTAAAAAGTCGAAAAATACAAACCGAAAAATTGAAGTTATGAAAAACTGAAAGATCTACGACACTGGAAAATTGTAAAATCAAAAAATCAAAAGTTTCAAAGTGTATATCGGAAAATGAAAAATCGAGAAATTGAAAAATTGTAAAATGGTAAAATCAAAAAATTGGAAAACTGAAAAATTTAAAATTGCAAACTAAATTGAACGAACGAAAAATTGAAAAATGGGGAAACTCAAAAATCGAACCGGGAGAAACGAAAAATTGAAAAATCGAAAAATTCAAAATACAGAAACTCAGAAATTGAAAAGTTGAAAAAACGAAAGACGAAATTATCTAAAAATTGAAAACCCGAAAAATTACAAATCGAGATATTAAAGAAATCAAAAATGGAAAAATTTCCAAATTGCAAAATTCAAAAATAGAGAAACTCAAAAATCGAAAAATTGAAAAAAAAAACGAAAGTCGATAATAAGGTATCTTAAAGTTGAAAATCGAAAAATTAAAGAAACCAAAAATTTAAAAATTTCAAATTGCAAGTCGAAAAATTGAAGAATCCGTAAACTGAAAATTTAAAAGCCCGAAAAATTTAAAACTAAAATAATAATAATCATTCAAAGAGCCTTAAAACCCCAAGATTTATTAAAATCTCTGCATCGCCAATTTTGCTTCATTCTAAAACACAAAATTTCGAAAAATTTACAATAATAATTGTTAACAGCAAAATTTTACTGAGCTCTGTTTTTAATATGATGGAATATACCAAGAAAAATATTTTTTTTGCAAAATTTTCTACTTTATTCTAAAAACCCATAGATTTTCTTAATTTGAAGGTTTTTTGACAATTTTTTATGGGTGGATTTCGGTAAAACCAGATTATTTGATATTTTTTCCAAAAAAATGCTCTTTTACACCAAAAATACCAATTCACGTATAGAGAATAAAATACAATAATTGTAATTAAAACAAAATACTTTCAAAATCTGGTGCATTTAACCAAAAAAATTCTATCAAGGTTTTGAATTTACTTGTTTTTTTGGTTTCACGTAAAAGTGAGAGATAATGTGTTGCTGTAGGAGGTTAAAAAGTAAATGTGTAAAATTAAAAACGCACTTATGCATTGCTCAATTAAACATCATTTAAAAACGAAACTTGGAGCCACTTACAACACAAAACATGCAATATAAGCACGAACTCTACTACAAAATCAAGATGAGCTATACACATTCATCAAATATAATATAGGATGTTTCACCAAAAAAAAAAAACAAAAATAACAATAAAATTTCCATATTTAATTAATGACTATAAACAAACACCCATGTTATTTTTAGCCACACTTCAGCATACTTTATTGTGACCCAAATTTTTCCCGAACGCACGCTCCACCTGCATTTTTTCATTTTTGCGTGCCATTACGCAACCGTGGCGTGGTCCGCGATGACATTTCAAACCGTAATTAAAACATTACGATCCAGTGACCTTTCAGAAGGCCGTTGCCCAACTCGTTCTCGCTTTTCAGGTTTGCCCCTCATCGGCCACCTCAAGTACCCCAAGCACTACCGCCACCCCATCCCCCTGGTCAAGCCCGTGGCCTTCATCACCGCCGACCTCTTCAAGCTCCACCACGTCTACCCCAACCTGCCGGAATGACCCAAAGACTGAACCGTCAATGTCCTAATTTCTGTACAAAGCGAGAAATAAATAAAAATTAATTAAATAAAGAGTAAAACGGCAGTTGCGTCATTTGCGTGGGAGTCGACGACAAGTTTATGCAGACGGGCTAATTACAAGCGTGGCCTTTGCACAACCGGCGAAACGTTCGGGTTTATTTTCTAATTAGATATTAACCTTTCGGTTTAAAACTCTTTAACGACTATTAGATAGAGCAAATATTAAAACATAATTTGGGCTCGAGGCGGTGTGTTAAAACTATTAGAGGAAGAAGACGAAGAAGAAGAAATGGGTGAAGAAGTTGCGTCACGTTTTAAACGTTTGTGGTGTGGGTGTCCAAATGACAAATTTTATGCAGACAGGTTAATTGGAGGTGTCCGTTGTGCCTGTGACCTTTGCACATGGAACGCCTATGCGAAGCTGGAGTTTGATTGATGGGCTATTGTACGCCACTGGGCGACCTTGATATGGACTACTGAAAGCGGGGCCGCGCCTGGCCAGGATATTGTTTGGCCGAAGTCTAGTTTGGGAGACAGAATGAATTATTTATGAATGGATAATTGAATTTTTGGTTGCAGATTTGGGTGGGCGGCTGTGTTTTAGATATCTGTGTTGTCGATTTTATTAGAGCAATAAAAATATTGATAGGGCGATTGTTTATGGTTCGGTTGTGTTTTATGATGGAAATGGTTAATGAGGTGGCGGTTTTGGCTCCAGAAGGTTGTAAAATTAATAAAGTTGTACTCTTTGTTTCTGTTTTTTTGATTATTCATTTAATAGGGTTCGTAATAAACACGTATTTTTATGTGAAAATTTTGTATGTTTGTGTAATAAAACTGGGAAAAAATATGAAAACCTGCACTCAGTGATGGCATTTTATTTTTATTTTCTCTTACTAAGTAGAGCCAGAATTTTAGTGGTTTCAAAGTTAACATGAAAAACTGAAAATTTCCCAATTTTTGTATCTCGCAACAACCAACTCAAATTTTTGAATTTAATGATTTAATTACCAATTTATAAATTTTTGAAAATTTTTAATCAAAAATTATATTTTATTTTAAAGCACAAATCCAGATTCTTTCAAATTTTTTAGAAAACGAAACACCAGAAACCCTCCAGAACTTTTCAATTTTACAGCAGGATCTCATAAGACTCTTTCAGATTTTTCCCAAAAGAAAACATCAGAAACTCTCAAGAATCTTTCAATTTTTTTTTAAAGAAACACTACTAGCCCTTAAGATTTTTTAAAACTTTTTCGAGAATGAAGCACCAGGAACCCTAAAGGTTCTTCTAAACTTTTTCTAACCAAAACACCAGGAGCCCTCCCCTCAAGATTCTTTTAAATGTTTTCGAAAACCAAACACTAAGAACAAAGATCGTTTAGACTTTTTCGAAAATGAAGCACCAAGAGCTTTAAAGATTTTTTTAAACTCTTTGTAAAGCGAAACATCAGGTGCTTTCAAGATTCCTTCAAACTTTTTCCAAAACGAACTACGGGGAGCCCCCAAGAGTTTTCCAATTTTTTTAAAAACGAAACACCAAAAACCCTAAAGACTCTTATAACCTTTTTTGAAAATGAAGCACAAGGAGCTTTGAATTATTTTTAAAACTATTTATAAAACGAAACACCAGGAGATCAAAAGATTCTTTTAAATTTTTTCGAAAACGAAACACCTAGAGCCCTAAAATTCTTTAAATTTTTGTAAACAAAACACCAGGAGCCTTAAAGATTATTTAAAACTTTTCTAAAGCAAAAGACCAAGAACCCTCAAGAGTCTTTTAATTTTTTTGAAAACAAAACAAGAAGATTTCAAGATATTTTAGATTTTTTTCGGAAACACAACAGGAGCTCCCAAGATTCTTTTAAACTTTTTCAAAAACGAAACACTAGGAACCTTAAAGATCCTTTCAAACTTTTTCGAGAACGAAACTCGATGAGCTCTCAAGATTATTTCAAATTTTTTAGATCGAAAATGAAACACCAAGGGCTCTTAAGATTATTTTCAACTTTTTCGAAACCGAAACACAAGGAACCCTACAGATTGTTAAAACGAAACTCCAGAAGCTCTAAAGATGGTTTAAACTTTTTCAGAAACAAAACATAGGTGACCCTCAAGATTCTTTTTACTCTTTTTTTAAAGTGAAGCACCAGGAACTTTCAAGATTCTTTCAAACTTTTTCGCAAACGAAACACGAGGAGCTCTCAAGATTTTTTATTTTTTTTTTTTTAAACGAAACACCATTGCGTCAAGCTTCTTTAAACTTTCTCTTAAAAAAACACTAGGAGTCTTCAATATTCTTTAAATTTTTTCGAAAAACAACAGGAGCCTTTAAGATTCTTTTAAACTTTTTAAAAAACGAAACACCAGGAACCTTAAAGGTTCTTTCAAAGTTTTTCGAAAATAAAATACCAAGAGCTCTCAAGATTCTTTAAAATTTTTTCGATCGAAAATGGAATACCAGGTGCTCTTATATCTTATCAAGTCTTTTGAAAACGAAACACCAGGAGCCCTAAAGATTCTTTTAACTCTTTTTTTAAAGCGAAGCACCAGGAACCTTCAAGATTCTTTCAAACTTTTTCGCAAACGAAACACGAGGAGCTCTCAAGATTTTTTATTTTTTTTTTTTAAACGAAACACCATTGCGTCAAGCTTCTTTAAACTTTCTCTTAAAAAAATACTAGGAGTCTTCAATATTCTTTAAATTTTTTCGAAAACAAAACAACAGGAGCCCTTAAGATTCTTTTAAACTTTTTAAAAAACGAAACACCAGGAACCTTAAAGGTTCTTTCAAAGTTTTTCGAAAATAAAATACCAAGAGCTCTCAAGATTCTTTAAAATTTTTTCGATCGAAAATGAAATACCAGGTGTTCTTATATCTTATCAAGTCTTTTGAAAACGAAACACCAGAAGCCCTAAAAATTCTTTTATTTTTTTTTTTTAAATGAAATCTCGGGTGCCCTAAAGATTGTTTCAAATTTTTTGGAAATAAAATACTAGGGACCCTCAAGATTCTTTTAAATTTTTTCGAAAACGAAAAATTAGGAACCCTAAAGATTCTTTTAAATATTTTCGGGAACGAAACACCAGGAGCCCTAAAGATTCTTTGAAACTTTTTCTGAATAAAACATCAAGAGTTCCAAAGATTCTTTTAAACTTTTTCAGAAACCGAACACCGGGATTCCAAAGATTCTTTCAAATTTTTCAAAATAAAACACCAGTAGTTCCCAAGAACCGTTCAAATGTTTTTTCGAAAATGAAACACCAGGACCCCTAAAGATTTTTTAACTTTTTCTAAATAAAACACCAAGAGTCCTAAAGATTCTTTTAAACTTTTTCGGAAACTAAACACCGGCACTCCAAATATTCTTTTTTTTAATAATAATGAAAAAACTTTCAGAGTTTAAATAATATATTTGTAGTCACTGCTACACGTGTTTCGGTACACAGTACCGTCTTCAGGCAGAAGTTTCTCTTCTGCCTGAAGACGGTACTGTGTACCGAAACACGTGTAGCAGTGACTACAAATATATTATTTAAACTCTGAAAGTTTTTTCATTATTATTAAAATTAATATGGAGTTTAAACAAGTATCAGCCTCATCAATACAAACCAAATATTCTTTCAAATTTAAAAAAAAAACAAAAGAAGAGCTCATTAGATTCTTTCAACTTTTTCCAAAATGAAACACTAGGAGCCCTAAAGATTCTTTTAACTTTTTCTGTATAAAACACCAAGAGCCCTAAAGATTGGTTTAAACTTTTTCAAAACGAAACCGTGGGTGTCCTAAAGATTGTTTAACTTTTTTTGAAACAAAACACTAGGGACTTTCAAGATTCTTTTAAATTTTTTCGAAAACGAAAAATCAGAAGTGCCCAAGAACCCTTCAAACTTGTTTTCGAAAATGAAACACCAGGAGCGTTAAAGATTCTTTTAAACTTTTTTAGAAATGAAACACCAGGAGCTCTAAATGTTTTTAAACTTTTTCAAAACGAAACTTTGGGTGCCCTAAAGATTATTTCAATATTTTTGGAAACAAAACATTCGGGATACTCAAGATTCGTTTAAACTTTTTCGAAAATGAAACACCAGGACCCCTAAAGATGCTTTAACTTTTTCTAAATAAAAAACCAAGAGCCCTAAAGATTCTTTCAAATATTTTCGGAAACAAAACACCGGGGGCCCTAAAGATTCTTTCAAATTTTTTTGAAAACGAAACACCCAGAGCCCTATTTTTTATTATTGTAAACAAAACACCACGAGCCTCAAAGATTCTTTAAAACTTTTTTTAAAGCAAAACATCAGGAGCCCTAAAGATTCTTTGAAACATTTCAAAATGAAACCTTGGGTGCCCTAAAGATTGTTTCAACTTTTTTGGAAATTAAACACTAGAGACCCTCAAGATTCTTTTAAACTTTTTCAAAAATGAAACACTAGGAGCTCTAAAGGTGCTTAAACTTTTTTTAAATAAAAAACGAAGAACCCTAAAAATTCTTTTAAACATTTTCGGAAACAAAACATCGGAAGGCCCAAAGATTCTTTCAAATTCTTTCAACAAGAAAAGACGAGAAGCTCATGAGATTCTTTCAAACTTTTTCCGAAACAAAACACCAAAAGTACCCAAGAACTCATTTTTTTTCAAAAGAGAAACACGAGGAGCCTTAAAGATTCTTTTAAACTGTTTCTAAAGCTAAACACTAGAAGCCTTCAAGACTCCTTCAAACTGTTTTGAAAATCAAATACGAGGAACCTCCAGGATTCTTTTAAAATTTTTCGGAAATGAAACACCAGAAGTTTTTATACTTTTTCTAAATAAAAAACCAAGAGCCCTAAAGATTCTTTTAAAATTTTTCAAAACGAAACCTTCGGAGCCCTAAAGATTATTTCAACTTTTTGGAAATAAAACACTAGGAACCCTCAAGATTCTTTTAAATTTGTTCGAAAACAAAACGTCAAGAATCCCAAAGATTCTTTTCAATTTTTTGTAAACAAAACACCGGGAGCCCTAAAGGTCCTTTCAATTTTTTTCAAAAAGAAAACAGGGGGAGCACAGGGGTTCTTTAACATTTTTCCAAAACAAAACACCAGAAGTCGCCAAGAACCCTTCAATTTTTTTCGAAAAAGAAACACGAGGACCCTTAAAGATTCTTTTAAACTGTTTCTAAAGCAAAAGTCTTCAAGATTATTTAAATTTTTTTCGAAATTCAAACCCGAGGAGCCCCCACGATTCTTTTAAATTTTCTCGAAAACGACATACTAAGAGCGCTAAAGATTCCTTTAAATCTTTTCGAAAATGAAACACCCGGAGTCCTAAAGATTTTTTTTAAGTTTTTCTGAATAGAACACCAAGAGCCCTAAAGATACTTTTAACCTTTTTCAAAACGAAATCACGGAAGCCCTAAAGATTGTTTCAACTTTTTTGGAAAAAATCACAAAGGGCCCTCAAGATTCTTTTAAACTTTTTCAAAACAAAACCTCGGGTGCCCTAAAGACTGCTTCACCTTTTTTGGAAGCAAAACACTAGGAGGCCTCAAGATCCTTTTAAATTTTTTCGAAAACTGAACCTCAAGATCCCTAAAGATTCTGTTAAATTTGTTCCGAAACGAAACATCAGGAATCGTAAAGCTTATTTTAAACATTTTCGGAAACAAAACACCGGGAGCCCTAAAGGTTGTTTAATTTTATTCAAAAAGAAAACAGCAAGAGCTCATGAGATTCTTTCAAACTTTTTCCAAAACTAAACACCAGAAGTTCCCAAGAACCCTTAATTTTTTTTTTCAAAAATGAAA